CAGACAGAGAGAGATAGAACGAGAGGGGGGGGGGGGGGGGGGGGGATAGGCAACTTCAAGGCTCCGTTATCGGCCCATGCATATTTGCATAGCTCTCAATTCTCCCTTTTCCTTTTGCTTTTCCTTCCCATTGCCTCATTCTTTCATTTCTGCTGTGGTCCATGCATTTTTCACATAATTTCCCAAAGATGTTCTTGCCATAAATTAACTGACTCTTTGGAGACTCCCAGCAAGCGCTCTAGGAGCAGCTTAAATTAGCTTTCATTTCCACTCCACGAATTGTATTCTATGAAAATATCACACAAAAATGCATCTTATGGCTGATTAAAATATATATTTTGCAATCTAAGTCCGATCATTCGGAGAACTGGGCGTATGTTGCCGTTCACTTATGGGAAATTACTGCTAAACTTAGTTCATGGATGCTGATTATGTATCATGCGAGCATTGGAGCTGCTGTTTTAATGTTCGGTTTCAGTTGCCTGGCTTATTCACATGATTATTCACACTTGTGCGCACTCATTCACGGACCTATTCACCGATCCGAAAGAGTGGGAGTGAGAGAGCAGGAGGGCCAAAGCAATTTGCATATTCAGTTTGGGTTTGTGAAACAATTGACAAATGATTCATAGGCCTGCTAGTCCGAGCGATCGATAAGCATTTCAACGGGTTGGACAGTCATGCCGCCCCATGCCCCATGCCCCATGCCTCTCAATCCCCCATCCACCATCCAGGGGGAGACACTGAGTGCCCTTGAAAATGGCAAAAACATATGCTCTCAACCAACGATCCCTCGACTTCATTGGAGCTGTCTCTCTTTTGTAGCCAGTCGCCACAGTCCAGCAGTCCGCCAGTCGACAGTCCACAGTCCACAGTCCATGTTGAAGCTGAAGTTGATGTGGCCCGAAGTGAAGTGAAGTGAAAAGAAGTGAAGTGAGTGGCACACAAAAGATGCCTGAGTAACACAGCAAAACAACAACATAAACAGAAACAGAAACAGAAACAACCGAGAGGCAAACAGCCAAAAGCCAACAGCCAACAGCCAGTGTGGAGACCACAAAACGGCAATTACATTGCCACATTTGCCAGGGAATCGGTGATGAAGCTCTGCCCCTGCCCACTGTCCCCTCTCCATGTGCCTGCCTCTGCCTCTGCCTCTGCCTCATTGCCGCTTTCGCTGTGTGGCACATACAAAAGCAAATACAATCATAAATAATATGATTATGATACCACATTCGCCATAGTCTGGGGGCGCAGGCGCGCGCACTCTTGCATGCTAAAGAGGAGCCACAGCCCAAAGACCAACAACAAAGTTGACAACACAGAAGAGAAAAAACAACAAAACAACAAAACAACAAAAACACATGAGGAATGCCCATTGCGTTGCTGCACGTTCTGCTCTTTCGCTCAGGAAACTATGCCACATATGTATGGTAGATTCGTACTCCTACAGAGTCACATTGCGAGAAACAGAGGGGGAGAGAGCAGAGGCAGAGCCATTAAAAAATCATAAAGAAGGGCCCGGGCACTTCATTGGCGTCAGAGGGCATCGTGCATACCCTGTTAAGACCCCAAATTCCACAAGCATTTAGTTGAATACTAAATATATAAATTAAAACACTAAAACTGACACAAATTCTATAAATAAAAAACTATTACCACAAACTAACATAAATGTTGTGCAAAAACTAAAGTTTCGAAATATTTGTACTAAATTTTAACAAATAAAAAATGTAAATCTTTCAATACTATAGAAATAAAAGCAAACAATTAAGGAAAATGGAGAAAAGTATTGAAATTAATGTTTAGTTTCAGCGAGTAAGTATTTCCCAAGGCAAATATTCGAACAATCCGATATTTTACTTCAATTATGTTCCCATAAACGAATGGACTCCATTTAAATGTCCTCCTGCCATAGCTTAACAACTCAACGAAAGTCACCACAGTCACCGGTCGATGAGGGTATGGCCACAGAAATTGTTATTTCATTATCGTGCCCTGACAATCAGTCAGCGGCTCGGAGCCAAAACTTGAAATCAACTTTGGGGCCGTATCCATTTGCCGTAGCCGTAGCCGTAGCCCATTCGCTTGTTTCGATGTTCGTCACGTTGTTCTTGGGTGTTAGCTATGCTGTTCGACATGATCGGGCCAGGCCGGGCACAGGCGCAGGCACAGTCACAGTCACAGGAACTCTGTGGCTCATGAGTAATATTTGTTCAGCATCGGCAGCAGCAACGCCCTTTTTTGTCGGCCCGAGCCCCCGCCCCCGCCACCGCCCCCGCAGCATACCCCGCCTGCCAAAAGCTAGCCCAAACCCAGTCGCAAAGAAAGAAAAAACAACAAAAAATCAATGGGGGGACCCATTAGCAGAAGTCAAGCGCCGCCGTTGCTCCGTAACTTAAAATTAAAGTTGCTTTTTCGTTTGTGGTGTGGTTTCTTGAGCTAACAGATCTGCAATTAATTGGGTATACCCACTAGGGGGAACTTCAATAAGTCCAATTTCTCTGCCACTCTCTCTTTTCCAGTGTGGATCAGCAGTGCAAAATGCTCTATTGGTCTTTCGGTGTGCCAGTCCGTAGCTTTCAGTGCAATGCGATTTCTCTCTTCCAGTGTGGCTTAGCAGTACAGGGAACGACCTGAAACGTTAGAGCATCACCGATTTTGCATCCCGAAAAATAGGTAAACAAATTTTAAATGCCAGTTCTGTTGGTTTCCCGCGTACCACCCGCACTTTTGGTCATGGCAGCGGGGGCGCCTCAAAGCGCAGCTGTAATTTGCTGTGGCATTTTTCAAATTTGCGCATTTGTCTGCGCTTTGCATAATTTTTCTGTTATTTATTTTGTGGTTTTTATTTTTATTTTTTTTTTGTGTTTTTCTTCGCTTGTTGGGTCTTGCTTTTTGGGTCACATTTTTCATGGTTCGAGTTTCGGGTTGCGAGTATTTTGTTTGCCGGCTTCTAAGTGGCCGAAGAAAACAAAAAAAAAACAGCTTAACAACAGAACTGGTGGCCAAAGATCGCGGCCCCACACAATGGGAAAACAAAACGACTGCCACACACTCGAACTCTAGAAAACAATAAAGATCAGAGCTCATGGAAATGTGCATTTGAATTGCGTGCATTTTTCAGGGTTACCAGGAGTCTCTCAGAAGAAGTGGAGTCTCTTTAAAGTGCAAAGTGCAGGTTGCACAAGAAGTTAAAAATAAACAAAAAAAAGTCCAAAAGAGTTCAAAGTCCATTCACATTTCACTTATTTTGGGTGCTGGGTGGGTGTTAGAGGTTTGACCCAGCACCACCACCCACTCAAAATTTGACCCGTTCTACTGGCTGGATCACAAACTGTCTCTCTCTCTCTTTCTTTCACTGCCCTACTCTTTCACACCCAACCGATTCAACATCATTCAACCCTCCCACTCCCACACCCACACCCAACCCCTTAAGATTGGCTTTGGTGTAACAGTAATCCAATTGCAGTGTTGCACCCGCTCTTTTGCTCACTTCATCTATCTTTTTTTCCGTCGGTTGCAACACGTTCGTTGCTCGAGTCTTTTGTTCCACGCAGATTTATGTCATTCTCTAGTTTTGCACTGTGAATGGTTGCTAGGTTGACTGACCAAAAACAAAAACCACTTTGAAATCGCTTTGTTATTGTTGTTGTTGGTGGTGGTGTTTCTGTTTGCTATTTTTTTGTTCATTGCATTGCATTTTGCTGCCTGCTGCTGCTTTTGTTATCTCTTTCTCTCTCTCTCTCTCTCATTTTCTTGTGCATTCCTTGGGCCAGAGCGAACCTCAACCGGTTCTCAGCAGGTTCGATGTTTTGGTTGTTGTTGCTGCCTGCCATTTATCGTTACAACAACTAAGGAAAGAGAGTGATATAGAGAGTGTGAGAGAGTAGTAGAGGGGGGAAAAAGAGAGCAATCTGAAAATGGTTGTCAGGTTGGTTCCAGAAGAGAGAGAGAGAGAGAACGCTTCTTGGCAACCTACTCCTTTTAATTTCTTTTGTTGTTGTTCCACTTCCTTGCATCCGGTTGAACCGGTTCAAAAAGAGCAGCAAGAGCAGTTTTTCGTGTTTTCCCAACAGCCTTACGATTTTTCCCTTCAAAATAAAATGGAATTCAAGTCTTTCGTTTTGCCACTGCATTTCATACCACATTCAAACACATTCCACACAACGCAACCGCAACTCGAACTACAGGCAACATCTAACCTATTCGAGCCCAAGCCAGCGCTTTGCTCCGTCGACTTCTTTTTCCATCCTTGTCTTTCATAATTAGTTTTCCTTAGTAACTAAATTAATTATATTATTTGTTTTATTGAGCTGAGAGATTTATCTTGAAAGAGAATAAAACATAATCCAATTCGAACTAAAGCAACATCCATCCATCGAACACACCGATGTTGCGCATTCTTGTGTGCAAAGGGTATTACCACAACGAGGTGGTGATTGGCAGCATGACAGCAACATTCTGAGTGTTGCTGAACGCTACCTTACTTTGTCGTGCGAACACACGCTGTTCATAAACTTATGGAACATGGAATACCATTGGAAAATTATATTTTACCAAATTGGGGAAACATACAGATGCGTGTGTCGGACAAACGTCTCTGGCCCCTGGAGTACACATGTGTATATATTCTCTTTATGTAAAAACATATATACACATACGCATGGTGTTGCATTTTATGCCATATCCAGTATCCCAGAGTTATGTCAAGAATAGGTCTTTCCGAGAAATATATATAACCATATTCGTGTCTTCGGACAAATATGTTGAAACTTCATATTAAAAGAATAGGGTACACCTGCCTACATGCCTAGCCCGATAACTTCCCAAGAACTCATACTTGAACGCAGAACTGAGCTGTCGAACCACGACTCGAACATCTGGGCCTGGCAGCACACGGTAAAGTGTGTCTAGCAACACCAAAAGATCCAACCACCGTGTTTGATCAACAAAACAAAGCAGTATGTTAAAAAGAAGGGTGAGCCCAGCCTGTCCATGCTTAGCATTTTCTGGACCATTTTGACTGTTGTCCATACCTCTCTTTTTCATCAGCAGCGTGTGCTTGTTGCCGCACAACATGTGTCCGGGCACCAGCAACATCTGAGGGCGGGCGCATTTGAAAGAACGGCCTTGCCGCCCCAATGTATCTCACAAATCTCACAAATTTTTCGGGAAGGAAACAACGTGTCGAATTTTTTTCTGAATTCAGAAAACTCGTCGTGAATTTCTCGTGGCTGTTGCTGCCTCTTACTCGTGGAAGTGTGCGTGTGCGCGCGCGTTTGTGTGTGTGCGTGTGTAAAGGAGAAATTATTTTAAAACCGGTTCTCTTTCCTTTGAAAATTGTCCGTATTTTTTTTTTGTATCGAAAACCCAAACAAAATTTATAATAATTTGAAAAGAGTTTGTGCGTTTTTATCAGGAGGAAAGGTAGACCGCTCACTCACACCACTCCATTCGATTCGATCGCTTCGAAAAAACGCCGCGAAAACAACAACAAAATATAGCATTTATTTTTTTTATTGTGCTCCTGCGAAAAAAATCCCATCAAAAAGAGTGTAAAAGTGTTCCAAAGAAAAATCCAAGAATATAGAGAGCCAAAATCGAAAGCTAAGATCAAAGCCAAAAGGAAAAATATTAAAAGTGCAAGAAAGAGCAGAGGCGTAAAAGAAGTCAAAAAAAGTGTGCAAGAAATACGAGAAACAAAACAAAAAAGTTGCAAATCTTACCGAATTTTTCGAGGAAGGAAAAAAGGTAGGAGAACACAAAACATAAGAAGAAGTAGATGGAAGAACGAAACAGTAACCGTAATATTGCTTTTGTATTGTGTTGCTTTGTGTGTGTGTGTGTGTGTGTTGTGCCATTCACTTGCATTTTGCGCCAGCAAGCGAGTGAGTGAGAGAGAAGCAGATGCAGATCTCTGCCTGGCGGCTGCTACCTGCTCTATGCCAGTGTGTGTTTGTGTGTGTGTTTGTATTGTGCAGATCAAGCTGCTGCTTCTCTGCCTCTCTGCATTGCAGTGGCTCCGTTAGGGTACGGTACCCTTTTTCTGAGAGCGAAGGGCATAACCATTTCGGTCAGCGGTTTGGGTCGAAGAAAAGGACGGTATATCGCATGTTTTTATGTTTCATCGAGAGTTTTCTGCAGTTTTCGAACATTTCTCATAGGCATCTGCCAACTTTTTAAATTCAAATTGACATGACTGATTTTTCATAGGGTATCCCGCAATGCTTGGTTCCTGTTTTGCTATTCTCTCTGCCAATCTGCCTCTATATGGCTGAGAGGCAAATGATTTTAGTTTTAGCTTCTAGCGCGCCAAGTGCCTGACATTTAAATGATGGTGGGGGGACTGGTGCATTCAAGGCACGGGGGCAGGGGCTTGTGGCAGGTTAAGTGCCAGTCAATGTGTTGCATAAGAGAGACAGCCTGAGTAGGGGAGGAGGGAGAAGGGTATAATGAGCCACAAGCGCCAATTCGAATGCCAATTAAGCGGAAATCCAAATAGAAAATGTCCAGTTTTTTGTAAGCAAACTAAGGAAAAAATTGTATGAATTTCGCAGAAGAGCAAGAATAGAATAAGGGGAATCCGAGGAGTGTACATACATACGTACATATGTCATGTATCTTCTTTCTCTGTCTCTCTCTCTCTTTATGAACACAAAAGCAAGAGATAAGCCGTTGTAATAAATTATAAAATGTTTAAAATTTAGTTGAAGGGATCTAACTAGCTTAACATAAACAGTAATCAAGAAGATGTTGCTCACTCTCTCTCTCTCTCCTTCTCTCTCACTCTCTCTCTTTGTCTCAATCGTTCGGGAGGAAACGAAACGGGCAGAAATGTTCCCAAAGAATGCCGTAAAAACAATAAAGGCAAAACAAAGCAGATATAAACAGAACGGTAAAACCACAAAAAAAAAAGAGAAGAAGCTGTGGGAGTTGTAGAGCGAGATAAGAGGAGGAGGGATCTATGGGAAGAAGAATGTGGATTGTGGATTCCCGGAAGAAATTGGAAATCAGTTTGGGAGCAACAGAGAGAGAAAAATATGGATACATAGGCAGGAAATCTTAGAGACGGGAAACATATGGAATGAAATGATGCGAAGCAGAAGTAGAGATGGAGAGACTTGAGAGAGTGTTTCCTCAAGGAAATATATTACAAGATTATGGTAATGGGTAACATTGAAAATACATCAAACAATTAGAAGATAGTAGGTATAGTAGATAAAAAAGACAACAAATGAAGGAAAGACGCGCACGAATACGAATACGGAAACAGTAAGAAGTGAGACAAATAAAAGAGACTTTTAAACACACAAATGTTTAATTATCTAAAATATAATCAAAGCGAACTCGAGAACATGAAATGATTAAAGAATTCAAAGATTAAGATGAGGAAATTGCGACAAAAACATAAAGAAATAGTAACTCTAGAGATAAGAACTGCAAAAATACATAAAGAGATGTACGAAATACAAATGTATGAAATACGGACAAAAAATTTAAGAAATATGGATATTTCACACAAAACTGATCCTTCTACTCCATCCAACAAATTTTCCTCAAATACTTTAAACATTGAAACCGTTACCAACCGCAAAAAAAGAAAGATTCTGGAATGCAATCTGAAACAGTTTTTTATTCGATTGAGTTTTTCCCTTCAGAGAATTCACCCCCCTTTTCACGCAGTCGAAAGAAGTTTTGAAGTCGTTTTTCTGTCATTCAGACTGTCTTCAAAAATGAGCATTATTTCATCCAGAAAGATGATTTCCCTGTGACATTTGTAGCGCTGCTTTCCAGTGTAGTTTTCTTAAAATTGTTTGTTCTCAGAGAAAAAAGTTGATGACAAGTCTCTCCGCTTTTACCCCACTCTCCATCTATTATGTTTAGTGGGGAGGGGGTGCGTGGGAGGTCAAGTGGTTTTGACCGTGAATGTGCACAAAACAAAAAATGAAAGAAGATAAGAGTTGGGAGAGAAGAAACAATTGTCATGTGAGAAAAAAAGCAGAACCATGAAAAAACGATTTTATAGAATTAATTTGTAGAAAAATGTTGTGTATTGTGCGGAAAATGGGGAACGAGAGTGAGAAGAGGGTGGGTGGCCAAACCAATTAGCCAGAATTTTCCAGTTTTCGTATCGTATTTGTTGTTTAAAAGCTTAACAAACGATTTGAATTGAGAAGTAAGAGTTCCGCCCTGCATCAATCCATGTTCGGAAATTTAATACCTCCCTAGCTCCAGCCTTTTTTTTTGCTTTTTTTCACTCAATTAAAAAGGTAAACTTTCATGGAAACTGCACGAATTAAATGGAGATACAAAAGGGTATAACAAGTTTAAATAGTGATAGAAAATTAGCTAGAAACAAAAAGGGGAAATAAATGAGAGAGCTGGAGGGTAAGTCTCCACCATAAATCACGGGGCTTACTTTTTGGAATAATTTTGAATGTTTTTCCTCTACGATGTTCCATAAGTAAAGCTCTTTTTTTTGTCATAAAGTGTCTCATTTTTCCTCCACGGTTTCTTAAGTAAATGGGGAAAATTAAAGAATTTAATTTTCAAAATTGTTTAATTTATTCAACATAAATTCATCTGGAGAATTTTCTACTCTGTTTCTTCTAATTTTTCTGTATAAAATACCATAAAATAAATCCCCAAAAACTCCCAAATATTATTCGAAACGGAAAATGGATTAAAAAACAGTTTAAATTTAAACATTTTCAATTTTGCATACCATTCCAAGAACCAGAAATATTTCAATCAAATGAAAATCCAAATAAAAATGTTCTTTCATCTTTCATGGCCCCTTTCCCCCCTTAGTTTTGCGTCTTAAAATGTTATGACTCCTCAAATTAAATTGCAAAAAATAAAGAACCAAATCAAAACGCAAATCGATGGCTAAAATGTTGGAATATTTGTTGTTGAGGAAGATAAGGGAAGCGGGGTTCCCTCTGCGTGACATTTAGCGGCCCCCCCCCCCCCCCCCCACTCCAGTCACTCCACCATGACTTCGCGTAATGTCATTCCACACGAAATCTTAAATCTCAGCAGAAAAAAAAGAAGCCAAACAGACAGCTGAACAAAACCAAAAGAATGAAAAAAAAAAAACATCAGCAAAAAATTCTTAGCCCTGAGACCAGAAAAAAACAAGAAAAAAAAGAGGCGACGGCAAAAATTTTTGGTAATTCGGAGCGTTTAATCATTTAAAAAGCATCTTTGTAAAAAAAGTAGCGGGTGCAGGGACTTTGATGATGGCGGGATGGTGAGGCAGTCATCACCGGAACAAAAGAGAGAAAAGAAAGAAAGAGAAGAAACTTTTTGTTGTATTTTGCGGATAAAACAGTCAAAAGTTGTCGCAGCACTTGATGGAGGAAAAGAGGGACGTAGGGTGGAATGCCACTAAATAATACTTGGAGGGGCAGTGGGAATACTTATACCTCGGGGTGGAAGGAGAAATATTACTTGGTGTTTTGGCAAGGAAATAATATAAATAATTCAGGAAATTCAATCTTTGCTGGTGGCGTCAGTTTTACCTCATGCAAAAAGAAGCCCTACCACCTCCTCCTCTGATCAAGTCTTCCCTTTTTTGTTCTCTCTTGTCTTGCAGTCTTTTCCTTTTCTCTCACCTTTCTGCACAATCTGCCTCTGCCTCTCTCCACTTTTAATCCCTTAACAATAACGAAAAATTGAGGTCAAAATAAAGACAAAAAACTGCAAATTCCGGGTATAAATTATCTGCTATAAAATGCTCATTAAAATGTTTTATTCGTGTGGAAAGAAATTGGAAACGAAAGAAAAACAAGGCAATATTTAACCCTTATATGCAAATAATACGAATTGAATATACCCTGGAAAATTAACTGTTTAAACGGAATTTTTAGAATGAAAATCAAGCCACGATTCCTAAGCTACGCCCTCTTGCTTCCTCTCGTAGCCTTCCTATCTTTCCTACAATCTGCCCTCTACTCTCCTTCTTGTTCCCTTTCTGTCTCGCCCCCTTCCAGAATATTGCCTCTGCCAGCGGCGGCCGAAAAGTTACAATAACTTTTGCCACAGTTTAAGTTGGCAGCCGTATCTTTTGTGTGCGGCGGAGTATCGTTTGCTTTCTTGCTTCTTATTTTTTTTCTGCTTGGCCTGGCCAAAGGAGGTGGACTTTGGCGGTGGGCGTGCTGCAAGTGGCAAGTGGCAAGGGCGGTGTCAGTGTCATTGCTACTCGAATGCATTTTAATTCGATTGAGTATCTTTTTCGCCGTCTCTTTTCGAAGGGAGGCGACGTACAGTTATTTTCATGTGGCATTGAGGGAGTGTATGCGGCTAAATGAAGACTTTGGATCCAGATTTTGTTGGTAAAAATGCAGGGCCATAATTGTATTATGTTGAAAAAAAGCAAATGTCGAAAATAAATTCTGGAAATTTTTGCAACGTGCAAACAATTTATTGAAAGGTCCCATCTATTTTCATCCTGAGTCAGAAATTGTAATTCAATTAAGATTTGAGATACGAATGAAGAATAAATAACCAAAAGAGGCAGGACTGGTTTTGCCAATCGGAAAAGTGTTAATTTCCTAAGGTATAAAACCGCGTTAAATGTTTATGAATACTCATGGTCGGTGAATCATAGACTAAAGTACCGAAAAAGAGCTTAAGCGGGGGGAAAAAAGAAACAGAAAACGCCAAAGAAAACGGGCAAATGGAATGAAAGTCCATGGCTCTGTTAGAGTTTCATGGGTCCCTAAATATAAATATGTATTTATTATTTATTTAGTTTTTAATTTGTATAAAAATGGCTCTTCTCTTCATTTTGCAGCTAGAACTTTTGAGACGACACAACTTTTGAGGTGCAGAAAAAAGTACATTTTTAAGGATGCGCATCGGTTGGATGCAGCCAAGTCCTTAGAGAAGATTGAGGCGCAATTTAAAAAGAAGAAAGCTCAAAGCAGTAAAAAGAAGCAACGCAAACAAACTGAATTCAAGGTAAGTTAATGGCCGGCCCACCTGTTGCCTCTAGAGGAATCTGACGACCCCTGACACCCGCTCCCACCACCCCTTACATGTGTATGTATCTCTCTCTCTCCCTCTCTTCTAAAAGTATTTTTAGTCAAAATTGAGCGTCAAAGTTAACGCTTTCGTCTTGTCTATACATTTCAAGCCACATCCTCCTGCCGCCCTGTTTCCCTGCCATCATAGATTCAGATACAACCAAAGCCTATCCTACTCCTGTTCAATGCTTTCCCCTCTTCCCCGTCTACACAGCCTGTTTCCCCGTTGCTTTTGTTTGCTTTTGTATCTTTAAGAAACTTTCTCTCTCTCTCCACTATTTTCTATTGTTCTTTGGGCTTTCCGTGTGGGGTCTTCCACCAGTTTTCTGTGGGGTGGGGATGTCCTTAAGTTTTTCGGGGTTTTGCTACGGTTTTTTGAAGCTTTTACTTTTGCTTAGTCTTTTGTAGGGTTTCCCTCTGGTTATCGCAAGGTTTCGCCTCTTTTGCAATTTTACAGCTGGAAGAACTTGCGAAATGGCAAACTCTTCTACGCTTTCCTTTTCATTTTGTTTCTGTTTTTGTTTCTATTCTTTTGGATACTATCAACATTTTTGTTGTTTGCTTATTTTGCTCTTATCTAGAATTGTTTGCCCCTTGCCATTGCTTTTCCTGCATTTAGCATTTACCTGTGGAAAACGAGATGTTTGTGTTTCCCAGTTGTTATAAGGAAAACCCTTTAGCGTGAATGAAGGGACAATGTTGTGTGGAACATAACTAAAGTGCCTTCAATGGCATCCAATTTGTGTGTTTGATGTTCATGACAAAGTGGAACGTAAGCTGCGCTCTCTCCTGTCTTCTCTCCAGCTGCGAAGAGTGTCCCCGAAGAGATTATCCGAAAAAAGTTCATGAACAGCCACCCGAATTGTGCGGAAGGGAGAGCCGACCCTCCGTTATGATCTGCTTATTGCATGCGCCTCCCTCTCTCATCCAAACACTTTAGCAGCAAACAGTCAGCTCTTCGCCTGCTGTCTCCAGCTGACTCCTTCCCACATTCATTCTTCACCTGCACACACAGTCACACATCGCTCTCTCTCTCTCTCTCTCTCTCTCGCTCTGTCGATCTCTTCACGTGAACAAACGGTCAACGATTGCCTTTCCTCCTTACCATTCGATTCCATTCCTATCCATTTCCAAAGCATTCCCCTGCCCATTCCACTTGCACAAACAGCCACATACAATTACCCCTTCTCCCTCTAAAGCGTTACCTGTACATATGGCATGTTCTAGCACGCATATTCTTCTCCTTCCCCTGCCCTAACTCGCACCGCACCGCTCCACTCATCCATCCATCGATGGCATCGAAGAACCATTGAAATTTAAATCAATTTGATTCTGATTAGCCACACACGGAGTTTGTTTTTTTTTTCACCTCCTCGTTTATTGTTGTTCTTTGGAACCTTTTTTTTTTTGTTACCTCTACCTCCTCCCCCTCCTCAACTAACGTCGACGCAGCTACGCACCTCTCCTCGCCTCTCTCTTTCGCGCACAACTCTTTCCATGCCGAAGCCCTTCCAGCCGCCCCAACCTTCTTCACCGCCCACCCACAACTCTTGAGCAAAAATTCACACTACTTTTGTTTTGTTTTTCTTTTACCCCGTGTACAGTTGTTGTATTTTGTCGCCATGGGTTTTGGAGCATGGAGTTGTTTCTTTTTTTTTGAGTCTTTCATTCCTTGCTTTACTACCGTTTCAATGCGATGCCGATAATGTTGTTGTTCATGATTTTGGGTTTGTCTTTTCTGTTGTGCCTCCAAAAACTAGTTAATAAATTAGTTTTTTATTATTGGAGATAAACCCCCAACCAGAACAGGTTCTTTGCCACTTTAAACGAAGACAGAAGAAAGGGCGGAGGGATACCAAGAGAGAGAGAGAGAGAGAGAGAAGGCAACGAATGTGCGTGCGTGTGTGTGAGTGTGGGCACACACGCAGGTTCTTCTTGAAGAAGCAGCAGCAGAGCAGAAGAAACGCGACTCGAAAAACTAAGGAAGAATTCGTTCACAGTTCTTTCGCCTAAGGGAACCTGTTTCTTCGAGCGAGAAATAAAGAGAGGGCAAAACAGGCACAAAGAGAGAGAGAGAGAGAGGAAGACAAAGAAGCAGTGAGAGAAGGAGAAAAAGAGAGGATCGGATTCACATCAATTCCCTGCGAGTATCCCGGTCTCTCTTTCCTTGGGTTTCCTCGATGTTTTTACTTCAGTCGATATTTTTTTAACACTTTTTTAAATACCTTAATTAGAGAAAAAATTAAAGAAACATAAATTAAAATAAACTAAACGGTAATCCATAGTATAATCACTGTTTTCAACGCTGTTTTCGTGCTGTTTTGCCTTCAAATCAATTAAATCAACGGGTAAATGCATAATGAACACCTATTACATCCAGTTTTGGCTTCCTTTCAGGCACTTCTTCTCCTCCTTATGCTTCTACTCCTCCTTCTGCATTTGTTCTCAAAACAAATTATAAACAAACATAGAGGAGGAAGAACAAGCAGAGAGAACGAGTACGATTATGAGGAGTAGAATGAGGCCCCTGCCAATGAATATCCCATTTATGCATATTTATGCGCGCGTGTGTGTATGCCACTCGTAAAACTACTACGAGAATCGCCTCAAGTAGGAGCAGCAGCAGAAGGAGTAGAAATATAAGTAGCAGGAATAGGAGCGCCGGAGTTTATGCCCAACAAAATCGAAAGAAGCGAGTAAATATATGCACATACATACGAATATGTATATGTACATGACTATCTAAATTTAACAAATATCATTTACAAATGTATGTACATACGGGCTTTAGTATTACATATTATTATTCCATTCCAACGCCATCATCATCATCCGTTGCGCTCTGTTTGCCATACACTTTATTTCATCTACTTCATCTCTCCTTTCCTGCCCACTCTCTTCTCCCACTTACCACTTACATACATACTTTCCCCCACTTTTCAGCCTTTCCGTTGACTCTTCTTTTATTTTTGTGTTTGTGTTTGTGTTTTCCGCTGTTTATGCGCCGTGTCTAATGACAGTTTTTGTGGTCATTATTTGAAATGAATACTCCAAGTATATTCCTGACTACATAGAAACATGTGTAATAAATACATATATCTGCGGGGGGTGGCACATGGGGCTGATGGGGGAGTGGTACATTTTTGGCAATTAAATGTTTAGGCCATAAATTAGATGTGGGGACATAAAAATCCAAACAACATCAAAAGAATCGAAAGATTGGCACTAGCAAAACAACAGAAATTCACAGAGGGTTTTAGCATTTCAATGATAAATACGCTCATGAGGGTGTAGTCCAAATTTCTGAATGTATTTTCACCACTTCAGACCATCTTTCCTAATTATATTTCTTCTTTCATATATATATTTAATTTCTTGCCTCGGTTTACCACTGAATATTGCACCCGTTTCCTGTTTAAGCATAAATCAACACCTTAATCCACGCAATATTCGAACCCCTTCAGTCATTTGATTTACATTTTAATTCACAATCAGACCAGAACATTTGTTTTCGCTCTTTCTTGGGCATAAATGTTTGTTTTTATTTGCAAATTTCGTTGGAAAAGTCTGCCACTTGATCCATGCGAATCTGAGAATCCCCAAAGACGAATGTCTAGACGATTGTGCCCCCGACCACTCAGTCCTATGCGTGTGCGAGCGAGTGTGAGTATTCGTGTCTGGTCAGGGAGCATTTCCATGGATGCCACATGTAAATCAATGCATTATTTTCCCACGTCCAAAAAGCCAACAACAAAAAAACCAAAAAAAAAAAAAAAAAACTCATTTATCAGCGACTGAGGCGGCGCGGCGGCATTTCAACAACAAAACAGCGTCGGCCCACACAGAATCAGTAACCGTATCGTATCGATGAGGTGGAGAATGAAGAGAGAGAGAGAGAGAGAGGAATTGGAATATTTGAACCAGAAATGAGCAGCATCATCATTTATATGTGCGAGCAGACGACCGAGGGGCTCCGCGAGAGCCCCACCATAAACCATGGACGAAACAATCGATGGCTTGCTGATGGATGATTATATGAGTGGGTGTAGAGAAGGGATTGGGTAGGAATAAAGCATATTCTTGGTACTAAAGGCTGGAGGAGACATTGAAGAACAGCTGTTAAAAACTATTGAAAATTAATCGCTTCTGATTCAGATTTGCACTCGACACGCTCACACTGCCACTTGGAAGTCATTCGTACACCTATTGGCCAGCATTCGCACTCATTTATGCAGCCATTCACCCACTCATTCGACCATTCACACTCTCTTGTCTGGATTTTGGGGAAAACCAAGAGAAAAGAGTGGCTCCCAGTGTGGGGCAAGTTCAGTTTTTGGTTTACAAATCGAATGGAAAAATGATGGGACCCAATGCATAACCCGAAGAGCCAATGTTAATGAAAGGGATTTGCCCGAGTCCTCCGAGTCCTTGCCTGTCCAAAACAATGATACGATACTTGCCACATGCCACATGGAACATGCCACCCCCCATTCATAATTCGATATAGATTTCACCTTCTAAACCCCCTCGCTACCATAGAGTAGACTCCTTTGGGCTCCCATTGCCCCTCTTTCTATTTTCTACACCACCAACCGAAAAAAAAGTCTGTAAAAAGTATTTTGTGCAACGTTTTTGGCCACATTTTAGCTTCATTTATCACAAATTCATTTATCATTTGTCCCCCCTCCCCACGACACCACACACACACACACACACACATACACACAAATCACTGTCCGCTACCCCTCCTCCAGCATTGCTTCCTGTTTTCCGTTGGCGATTTTTCGTTTGTTTTCTTTTTGGCGCCCAAAACGAAATTTTTATCGGGGGAGACGACGACTGTTCCTGGTCTGTTGCTTTATCATTTTTCTTCGTCTGCTTTCAGTTTTACCCTCAACCCTACCCCTCCCTTTGTTCTCCTGGCATTTCCTACAG